TTCTACTTTTACTCAAGTACAAGATCTGAGTACTTCTACTTTTACTCAAGTACAAGATCTGAGTACTTCTACTTTTACTCAAGTACAAGATCTGAGTACTTCTACTTTTACTCAAGTACAAGATCTGAGTACTTCTACTTTTACTCAAGTACAAGATCTGAGTACTTCTACATTTACTCAAGTACAACATCTGAGTATTTCTACTTTTTCTCAAGTACAACATCTGAGTACTTCTACTTTTACTCAAGTACAAGATCTGAGTACTTCTACTTGTACTCAAGTACAAGATCTGAGTACTTCTACTTTTACTCAAGTACAACATCTGAGTACTTCTACTTTTACTCAAGTACAAGATCTGAGTACTTCTACTTTTACTCAAGTACAAGATCTGAGTACTTCTACTTTTACTCAAGTACAAGATCTGAGTACTTCTACTTTTACTCAAGTACAAGATCTGAGTACTTCTACATTTACTCAAGTACAACATCTGAGTATTTCTACTTTTTCTCAAGTACAACATCTGAGTACTTCTACTTTTACTCAAGTACAAGATCTGAGTACTTCTACTTTTACTCAAGTACAAGATCTGAGTACTTCTACTTTTACTCAAGTACAACATCTGAGTACTTCTACTTTTACTCAAGTACAAGATCTGAGTACTTCTACTTTTACTCAAGTACAAGATCTGAGTACTTCTACTTTTACTCAAGTACAACATCTGAGTACTTCTACTTTTACTCAAGTACAAGATCTGAGTACTTCTACTTTTACTCAAGTACAACATCTGAGTACTTCTACTTGTACTCAAGTACAAGATCTGAGTACTTCTACTTTTACTCAAGTACAAGATCTGAGTACTTCTACTTTTACTCAAGTACAAGATCTGAGTACTTCTACTTTTACTCAAGTACAAGATCTGAGTACTTCTACTTTTACTCAAGTACAAGATCTGAGTACTTCTACTTTTACTCAAGTACAAGATCTGAGTACTTCTACTTTTACTCAAGTACAAGATCTGAGTACTTCTACTTTTACTCAAGTACAAGATCTGAGTACTTCTACTTTTACTCAAGTACAAGATCTGAGTACTTCTACATTTACTCAAGTACAACATCTGAGTATTTCTACTTTTACTCAAGTACAAGATCTGAGTACTTCTACTTTTACTCAAGTACAAGATCTGAGTACTTCTACTTTTACTCAAGTACAAGATCTGAGTACTTCTACTTTTACTCAAGTACAAGATCTGAGTACTTCTACTTTTACTCAAGTACAAGATCAGAGTTCTTCTACTTTTACTCAAGTACAAGATCTGAGTACTTCTACTTTTACTCAAGTACAAGATCTGAGTACTTCTCAAACCCCCATCCTCCTTTCTGTTCAATAAACGCTGCCCTCTGCTGGAGAAATGTCGACATGACACAGAAAAACAAACACAGACACCAGAGCCTGAAATAAACATGTCTCTCAACGCTTTAATTACTAAACAAGTCGCACTTGTTAAGTCATTTCTCAATTAAAAGGCTATGGGGTGGATTTAATGCTATAAATACTTCTACAACAGTGGCCCCCTACCATTTGAGCTAGCTATTTATTTACCCATTACTTCGTAGCTAGCTAACATTAAGCTAGCTATTTATTTGCCTTCATACTTTTAATATTTTGCAGAGGTGGGACCAAGTCATTGTTTTGCAAGTCCGAGTCAAGTCTCAAGTCTTTGCGCTCAAGTCCGAGTCAAGTCTCAAGTCTTTGCGCTCAAGTCCGAGTCAAGTCTCAAGTCTTTGCGCTCAAGTCCGAGTCAAGTCTCAAGTCATTGTTTTGCAAGTCCGAGTCAAGTCTCAAGTCTTTGCGCTCAAGTCCAAGTCAAGTCTCAAGTCAGGATGGGCAAGTTCAAGTCAAGTCCAAGTCCTAAACTTTGACAAAACGAGTCTTAAACAAGTCATTATGTGCTTTTCAACAAATGTAATGACATCGATCAGAATAATACTTAATAATCAAACTGCTCTTTATTAGTCACATTAATACTGTAATAATCTATTTTCTCTCTGCTGGTAAAGTAATGTGTTTTCTTCTATTGTAAGAGGGATCAGTAAGGTAAGGCTACCGTGACGGTTTGATTCAGAAGGAGTTTAATGTATAAGATCCCTGATGTTGAGGTATCCAGAATGTTTATTTCCACTGTGTCCAGCATGTTATAAGGGACCCACAACCTATCTTTATGCAAGGGATAATGTGCAGCGAGGCGGTCTTTATGCGGAAAAAACCCTGAATCTAGATCCCTCTGCAGGTGGTACTTTAAGTATATTTTGATGATAATATTTTTCTACTTTTACTTGAGTAACATTTTGAATGCAGGACTTTTTATTGCAACCGAGTATTCCTACACTCTGGTACTTTTACTCAAGTACAAGATCTGAACTTCTCCCACCTCTGGCAATAAATCCTGAGTGGTTACCAAAAAAAAACCCTGCTCTGAAGGCTATTTTCATTTTACAAATCCTGCACTCAGCTTTGCTTTCTCCAATATCATTGAAATGCAGCCAGAAGCTGCTCCTTTTTTCGGTTTTCGCAAATTTCTTGACTTTTTCCGACGCGCTTGCATTTAAATCCGGCTCCCCGTCTCCCCGTGGCTCTGTAGCTGGCCTGTACCACTACACCTGCTGTCTTTGGAGCGTCTGCCCCCCACCCTTCTTTCACATAATGGTATGATCCTAGTGTGTCCTCGCATATGATTGGCCGCATGGTGGCTCAGCAAAATAAAGTCCCGCCCCTGCCTGCATGGATTCACAGCAAGAGTTGCAGCGGCTGAAGGTTCTGCTCTCCCCGACGGGAGTCTGCTCTTCTAAAGGCCCTGACACACCAGGCAGTCACCAGAGAACTTGCCGACACCCAACACCGACAGTTCCATCGACGAGTTCTCCTGCGTCTTGGCCGTGTGTCGCACTGGAAATCACCGCAAAGACTTCAGCCGAGCACGTACGAACTGCGCATGCGTGAGTGGCAATAACTCTCCTTACCAGCAGGCGGCGGTAGGTAGTGTGTATTCGTCATTCAAATAGGCAACAACCGGAAGACAGAGAAGAAGAACAGACTGATATAAACAAACAAATAGCGTGTGCGTTCCATTTTCACTCTCGTCCATCGAAAACATGTTTTAGAATATAAAAATACATGAATGATGAAATGAGCACATAAAGTGCAGACATACTATAAAATCACAGTTAATAGACCTGCATCTGATGATCGCAGTGTTCTGGCGGGTGTGTAGTTTATTGAGTCAGCAATGTAATAATGGCCACTTCTTGCTAAATTTACGATGAGATGAAAAACCGGACTTGACCAAACAAATCACGGAGCTCTCAGCAGAGGACAGCCGGGGACGCTCCCGCCGATATCAGAGATGTCCCTGCTATGTGTGGGAGGTAAGAGAGGACATTTAAGGGCTATGTTTGATGTCTTTAAGTATCACCTGCTGGTGTTTAGCTGCTGTCCTGTGCCTTTTTTAATCGTTTGTTTACGTCCCTCACTTCCGTTTCGCTTCTCATTTGCTAGCTGAACAGCTGATCAGAGTGGTTTCTTGGCCCGATAGCTTGTGTCCGAGGCCGGGTGTCGACCGTGAAAGGCCAAATAAGGCGTGTCACGGCCGAGGGTTCGGGACACACCAAATTGACTTTGGGCGACAAGGAACCCGTTGTCGCCAAACAAGTCTTACTCGAGTCTGACTTGAGTCCAAGTCATGTGACTCGAGTCCACACCTCTGCTACATACTGATATACACCTAAACATCAGCAGGAGAGGACTCTTTAAAGTAGAGACACTACATACTGATATACACCTGAACATCAGCAGGAGAGGACTCTTTAAAGTAGAGACACTACATACTGATATACACCTGAACCTCAGCAGGAGAGGACTCTTTAAAGTAGAGACACTACATACTGATATACTGTACACCTGGACATCAGCAGAAATGTAAAAGAAAATCTACTTTTGCTGGTGCTGTTGCATTTAACATCAAATAGTTGACTAAAACAAACTTGAAAGAAATCAAATACATAGTGTTGTTTTTTCATTTGTTTATATTTATTATGATAATTGTTGAATGCAAACTTTGTAAACAAGGTAATAAAGTAAGTACTGAAGTAGCTTTAAGTCAGTGTATTGATCAGGGCAGAGCCAGGTGAGCTAAAGTCACTCAATACAAAGGTAACTTGACAAAAACAGGAGGAACAAACGAGAAAGAATTCTAGTGTTATTTTGAATTTGAATGTCTTTGTATTGATTGTTATTATTAGTTGAATTCTCAGACTAAATCTCTGGTGACTTGAAATTAAAAGCAAGAAGCTAAACTTAGACAGGAGAAACAAACGTGAAATAAATCAAACGTGTCAGTATTGTTATCATTATCATTATTATTTTTTTATTGATTGACAAGACTTTAACTTAACAAGAAAACAATGGACTAAACATAAATATAGAAATGTACTATTAAGTAAATATGAAAAATATAAGATACATATAAAAATTGACTATTAACTAAACATGATAAATATAACATAAATATAAAATGAACTATTAAGTAAATGTGAAAAATATAACTTAAATATGAAAATGAACACGATAAACCAAACATGACGATATAACATAAACCTGATAACTTGTAATGACTAAATGTTCCTCTTATTTAGGGGTGCTAGAAGCAAAGGAATAGTTTATTTATTTTAATATTAAGGTTGTTTTTTTGCCCCTAGTGGCTAAAACTGCACATCACTGTGAGTCTCTTCTGGAACCTTTGTTGATGTCTAACCAGATCTAATAACTGTTAAGTGTTTAAATATATATCCTGACTGGCTGTGAGTATATGTTGTTGCTCACTCACTTTGAGCTTTAGACTGTACTTGAAATGTTTTAATGTCTTACTAATTTTTGATGTTGTGAGTTTGTTTTTAAAGTTTTTAAAGCCGATGTCAGGGCTGCCTTTGAGTCTTATGTTTTCCTTTTTAGTCATCGTTGATGTTTGGGCGGATACAAGAAAAGGAATTGATGAATCTTCTCCACCATGGTGTTGTCCTCCTCTGCGTTGTTGGGATCGGCTCATTGGTTTGCTCAGGTGGATCCACCCTCACTTCCTGTTCCACCTCCAACTCCACCTTTACCTCCACAAGCTCCTCCTTCACCACGGAGAGTGCCTGTGGTGGTTTGTTCAGCTGTTTCTTCAGCAAAGCAACTATCTCTGCATCCTTCTCCTCCACACAACGTTCCTTCTGTTGTTCCAGTTCCTGGTTTCTCTCATGCAAAGCGACTATCTCTGCATCCTTCTCCTCCACACAACGTTCCTTCTGTTGTTCCAGTTCCTGGTTTCTATCATGCAAAGCGACTATCTCTGCATCCTTCTCCTCCACACAACGTTCCTTCTGTTGTTCCAGTTTGTGGTTTCTATCATGCAAAGCGACTATCTCTGCATCCTTCTCCTCCACACAACGTTCCTTCTGTTGTTCCAGTTCCTGGTTTCTCTCATGCAAAGCGACTATCTCTGCATCCTTTTCCTCAACACAACGTTCCTTCTGTTGTTCCAGTTCATGGTTTCTCTCATGCAAAGCGACTATCTCTGCATCCTTCTCCTCCACACAACGTTCCTTCTGTTGTTCCAGTTCCTGGTTTCTCTCATGCAAAGCGACTATCTCTGCATCCTCCTCCACCACACAACGTTCCTTCTCTTGCTTCAGTGTTTGGTTTTCCTTCAGCAAAGCAGCTATCTCTGCATCTTTCTCCTCAACGCAACGCAACTTTTGTTGTTTGAGTTCCTGGTTTGTTGTTTGCAAGGCGGCCATCTTTGCCTCCTCCTTAACACAACGCTCCTTCAGTTGTGTGAGTTCCTGGTTTCTCTCACGCAGAGCAGCTATCTCTACAGATTTCTCCTCAAGACAACGCTCCTTTTGTTGTTTGACTTCTTGGTTAGTCTTCAGCAAGGCAGCTATCTCTTTATCCTTCTCCTCCACACAACGCTGCTTCTGTTGTTGGAGTTCCTGATTTGTCTCACGCAAAGCAGCCATCTCTACACCTTGCTCCTCAACACAGGGTTCTTTCAGTTGTTTGAGTTCCTGGTTTGCCTTTCTCAAGGCAGCCATCTCGGCTTCGACCTCTTCCTGGGCTTTCACTTTCACATTGTGCTGAAACTGCAAAGCTGCTGTATATGCTTTGAGCATCGCTTCCTTCTTTTTAGCGCCTTCAATCTCAAGCTTATCCCTTAAGGGAGTCCTCTCCTGCTCCAGCAACAACTCCATTTCCTGATTTTCTTTTTGCAGAATCTCGAGCCAGACTGCCAGCACATCTCTATTGTTCATCTCCATCTCTACATCTTGCTCCTCAACACAGGGTTCTTTCAGTTGTTTGAGTTCCTGGTTTGCCTTTCTCAAGGCAGCCATCTCGGCTTCGACCTCTTCCTGGGCTTTCACTTTCACATTGTGCTGAAACTGCAAAGCTGCTGTATATGCTTTGAGCATCGCTTCCGTCTTTTTAGCGCCTTCAATCTCAAGCTTATCCCTTAAGGGAGTCCTCTCCTGCTCCAGCAACAACTCCATTTCCTGATTTTCTTTTTGCAGAATCTCGAGCCAGACTGCCAGCTCATCTCTATTGTTCATCTCCATCTCTACATCTTGCTCCTCAACACAGGGTTCTTTCAGTTGTTTGAGTTCCTGGTTTGCCTTTCTCAAGGCAGCCATCTCGGCTTCGACCTCTTCCTGGGCTTTCACTTTCACATTGTGCTGAAACTGCAAAGCTGCTGTATATGCTTTGAGCATCGCTTCCTTCTTTTTAGCGCCTTCAATCTCAAGCTTATCCCTTAAGGGAGTCCTCTCCTGCTCCAGCAACAACTCCATTTCCTGATTTTCTTTTTCCAGAATCTCGAGCCAGACTGCCAGCACATCTCTATTGTTCATCTCCATCTCTACATCTTGCTCCTCAACACAGGGTTCTTTCAGTTGTTTGAGTTCCTGGTTTGCCTTTCTCAAGGCAGCCATCTCGGCTTCGACCTCTTCCTGGGCTTTCACTTTCACATTGTGCTGAAACTGCAAAGCTGCTGTATATGCTTTGTGCATCGCTTCCTTCTTTTTAGCGCCTTCAATCTCAAGCTTATCCCTTAAGGGAGTCCTCTCCTGCTCCAGCAACAACTCCATTTCCTGATTTTCTTTTTCCAGAATCTCGAGCCAGACTGCCAGCTCATCTCTATTGTTCATCTCCATCTCTACTGCTGTGACGAAATGACCTGTTGTTTAGCAAACTAAATGTAATTGTTCGACTGAATTAACGTCACAAAAATCCCACAAAAGTTGAGTTCACTTGTGAAGATTATCTCGCTAAAAAACACTGCAAGTATCCCTAATGTTTGCTTGCAACAAAACCTATTTCTGCAATGATCTGACACTAGCTGGACAAATTCCTGCTGCTCTGCTGCTCTGGTGCTCTGGTGCTCTGATGCTCTGAAGAAGATCAATGCAGAATTCAGAATTCTACATGAAAGCAAAAAATGATGTCATAATTCTGAAGGTTCCATTCCAAATAACGAGTGAAGGACATCAGCTGACAGGAAGTAAGAATGGAACCATGCTGTTGCCTAGCAACGCAATTGTGTTTAGATAATATAAAGAAATGTAAACAATCGAAATGCTTTATTAATTCCAATGGGAAGTAAGCAACATGTTCTATTATGTTTCATCTTCACGTCAAATGCATATTTTCTACTTTTTAATTTCTATTTTGATATCTTTCAAATTTTTGAAATCTTTATTTCTACTCTTTTAATTTCTAATGATGTGCAATGCCTTGTTTTTTATGCTGCTGCAACGCAAACATTTCCCAATTTGGGATCAATAAAGTACATCTTATCTAATAGGAACCAAAAATACAGTTACGTTGAAGTTGCACTCAATTGTATTTTGATAAAGTGCCATTTTGAATACAACTTTTTTTACAGGATTCCCTTCAACACATTAACTTCAATGAAAACATTTCTCTACTAAAATATTTTTTTATGGTGATTAATTGTCTCTTTGTTGTAATTTTCTGTCTCTTTGCAGCTGTTTTCCATCTAATTGTAGGACTCTTTAAAGTAAAGACACTACATACCGATATACACCTGAACATCAGCAGGAGAGGACTCTTTAAAGTAAAGACACGACATACCGATATACACCTGAACATCAGCAGGAGAGGACTCTTTAAAGTAGAGACACTACATACTGATATACACCTGAACATCAGCAGGAGAGGACTCTTTAAAGTAGAGACACTACATACTGATATACACCTGAACATCAGCAGGAGAGGACTCTTTAAAGTAGAGACACTACATACTGATATACACCTGAACATCAGCAGGAGAGGACTCTTTAAAGTAGAGACACTACATACTGATATACACCTGAACATCAGCAGGAGAGGACTCTTTAAAGTAGAGACACTACATACTGATATACACCTGAACATCAGCAGGAGAGGACTCTTTAAAGTAGAGACACTACATACTGATATACACCTGAACATCAGCAGGAGAGGACTCTTTAAAGTAAAGACACGACATACCGATATACACCTGAACATCAGCAGGAGAGGACTCTTTAAAGTAAAGACACGACATACCGATATACACCTGAACATCATCAGGAGAGGACTCTTTAAAGTAGAGACACTACATACTGATATACACCTGAACATCAGCAGGAGAGGACTCTTTAAAGTAGAGACACTACATACTGATATACACCTGAACATCAGCAGGAGAGGACTCTTTAAAGTAGAGACACTACATACTGATATACACCTGAACATCAGCAGGAGAGGACTCTTTAAAGTAGAGACACTACATACTGATATACACCTGAACATCAGCAGGAGAGGACTCTTTAAAGTAGAGACACTACATACTGATATACAGTACACCCTGAACATCAGCAGGAGATAGCTCTTTAAAGTAGAGGGACTACGTACACCTGAACATCAGCAGGAGAGGACTCTTTAAAGTAGAGACACTACATACTGATATACACCTGAACATCAGCAGGAGAGGACTCTTTAAAGTAGAGACACTACATACTGATATACACCTGAACATCAGCAGGAGAGGACTCTTTAAAGTAGAGACACTACATACTGATATACACCTGAACATCAGCAGGAGAGGACTCTTTAAAGTAGAGACACTACATACTGATATACACCTGAACATCAGCAGGAGAGGACTCTTTAAAGTAGAAACACTACATACTGATATACACCTGAACATCAGCAGGAGAGGACTCTTTAAAGTAGAGACACTACATACTGATATACAGTACACCCTGAACATCAGCAGGAGAGGACTCTTTAAAGTAGAGGGACTACACAGATGACATTTTTTTATGGATTTTTTGTCAAAGCACTTCAGATATTCATTGCTATCGGGATGTTAAGAGCATTCCATGGAATATAACAAAAAGTGTATCTCGAGCCGGTTTCTCAAACTTACCTACCCCACCTTTAAGGGTGTCGATAGGATATCTAAGGGCCCAATGATTTTCCAATAGGATGTTGGTAATTAAGATAAGATAAGATAAGATAAGATGGTACTTTATTGATCCCAATTTGGGAAATTGTTTTTGTTGCAGCAGCATAAAAGACAAGGCATTTTACAATAAAACAAACTACAAATAAACAAGAATAGAAAGAAAAGAAAAGAAAATAGAAAATATACATGTTGAAATAGAAAACATACATGTAGATATTATGTATACAAATATATATATTCAAAAATATATGACATATGGAATATTAAATATTAAATATAAAATATTGAACAGATTATATATGTGTAAAATGTACAACGTGGTTTTACAATGAAGAAGGCAGGGTATAGTGTTTAATTTTTAATTAGGTTTAATATTTTGTTTTATTGAGGGTCACCAGGCTTATTCCAAGTTAAAAGCCACTCATGGCTGCAGGGGTTCAGGTAGAGGACCTCCAAATGGCGCGTTTCCACTACAGCGCGGAGCACGGTTTTAAGAGGGCTGTGACGTCAGCGGCCCGTCTTTGGTTGCGTTTCCACTTGGCCTAGTACCGGCCGGCGGGTCCTAATCCTAACAGTTTTTCTGGCCTCATAAAATCGTGGGTCTAGGGCCAGAGACAACGAGGCTGAGTCGGGCTGAGTATGCTAAACTAGAGAGAGCATCGCTGGCAAGGGGGCTACAACTACAACAAGATGGACATATTTGACCGTGATTTAATTGTAATACACGTTTCAAAATGATGCCGAAGTAACAACATACTGATACCGGTTAGTAAAAACCATGAATTAATGCTTTGTCAAGTCTGCAGACAGACGGCAGGCGAAAAACCTTTTAAAATGCGTGTTTTCTAAATGGAGATTGGCTAAGCTAACGCAGTATATGCTCCGACCGGCCACACTCACAACAACGGCCTATACAGACATAAATAAAGCAGCGACTGTATTCGCCATGACACAGGCAGTCTGTGGTTTGTACTTGTTTAACTTTTGTCTAGTTTCTGAACATATATGAGGAGCTGTGAGCTCTGAGTGCTAACAGCTAACGGCTGTGTTGTTTTTCTGGGGTTCTCATTGAAGATGACGTCACGGCTCCGCCTACACTGCGTTACTATAGATACTACCCCAGTTCCTAAACTGTAATGGAAATGCGCCATAAAGTGAGCCAGTCCTAACGAGGCCTAGCCATACCGAGCGAGGCCGAGCGAGGCCGTGTAGTGGAAACGCGCCAATAGTTACCTTCAGATACAATAAGAAGGTAAGTCTTATCAAAAGTAGAACACTGCTGACCTCTGTTGGCTAAAATTGGAACTGCAGATGAATGGAGGTGTCTGATCTGAAGGAGGCACTAAATAGACAGTGTAAAACAAGCCTGCTGACTTTCATTGCTTTCTCTTTGCCTTTTATAGATTAGCACAGTGGTGTAAAAGTACAAGACATAACTTAATTAAAGATAGCCTTCAAAATATACTCAGAGTCCAAAAATTAAAAGTAGCCTATTTCTGAATAATATTTATATAATATTACTGCACTATGATTATTGATGCATTCATGAGTCTATAGCAGTTGGCATTTTGTATTAGCTAATAATCTGAATATGTAGAACAACTAGTTGCTAAAGCTCTCAGATAAATAATAATAATAATAAATAATATTTATATATAGTGCTTCTCTAGAACTCAAAGACGCTTGTAGCAGAGTTAAGAGTACAACATGTACATCCAAAATGTAGTGGAGTAGTATAAAGCAGAGGTGGGACCAAGTCATTGTTTTGCAAGTCCGAGTCAAGTCTCAAGTCTTTGCGCTCAAGTCCGAGTCAAGTCTCAAGTCAGGATGGGCAAGTTCAAGTCAAGTCCAAGTCCTAAACTTTGACAAAACGAGTCTTAAACAAGTCCTTAGGTACTTTTCAACAAATGTAATGACATCGATCAACAGAATAATACTTAATAATCAAACTGCTCTTTATTAGTCACATTAATAATTTAATAATACATTTTCTCTCTGCACACCTGAATCTAGATCCCTCTGCAGGTAGTACTTTAAGTATATTTTGATGATAATACTTTTGTACTTTTACTTGTAACATTTTGAATGCAGGACTTTTTATTGTAACCGAGTATTCCTACACTCTGGTACTTTTACTCAAGAACAAGATCTGAACTTCTCCCACCTCTGACAATAAATCCTGAGTGGTTACCAAAATAAAAACCCTGCTCTGAAGGTTATTTTCATTTTGCAAATCCTGCACTCAGCTTTGCTTTCTCCAATATCATTGAAATGCAGCCAGATGCTGCTTCTTTTTTCGGTTTGCGCAAATTTCTTGACTTTTTCCTGCGCGTTTGCATTTAAATCCGGCTCCCCGTCTCCCCGTGGCTCTGTAGCTGGCCTGTACCACTACACCTGCTGTCTTTGGAGCGTCTGCCCCCCACCCTTCTTTCACATAATGGTATGATCCTAGTGTGTCCTCGCATATGATTGGCCGCATGGTGGCTCAGCAAAATAAAGTCCCGCCCCTGCCTGCAT